GTGCTTTTTACACATTGAGGAGGAGCTGTCAAAAGGCTTCATTTGACCTTCCACTTCACCAGCAGTGGCTGGGTTCTTCTTTGTGGTCAAGAAGGATGGTGGACTCCTCCCCTGCATCGAGTACAGGGTTATGTATTTCAGTTCATTGTTAAAGTAGATGCCTCCAGCACAAGAATCAGGGCCATGTTTTCCCAACACAATGGTACACCTCCTAAACTATATCCCTGTGCCTTTTACTCCCTTAAACTTTCTCCACGCAAACAAAATTATGACATGGGAACTGAGAACTGTTGGCAATGAAGGCAGTCTTTCAATAATGGCAGCACTGGCTAGAGGGGCCAAGACACCAATTCCTTGTGTAGACACAACATCCTAATCTCAAATACTTGCATTCAACAAAAGGTTAAATCAGCCTGTATGATTCCAGTGTCTAGAACCACATTCTGAAACCCATCATCCCCACTTCCTTGATCCTAGCTCCAGTTCAGTGGGACATCCACTCCCCATCCCTCGTCCCACATTGCCATTAGCTTTGTCACCGACCTCCCTGTTTCCCAAGGTAACACTACAATATTAACTGATCGATCGATTCTCCAAAGCATATTGACTGATTCCTAGTGTATCGGCCATGTCTTGATTTGAAGTTATGGAAGACATTTATGGATTTATTTCATATAATTTATTATTTTTACATTCATATCATTCCTTCTGCCTTTTGTCATTGATGTAAAATTTAATTAATGGTCTAAGGCGGGATGGGCAACTTTGATAGTGACGAGGGCCAGCACATTTTCTTTTTTATACCAAGGGGCCATACTACTAATCCACATCCACACACCTTTTACACCATCTTACTCAATTTCTTTTTTTATTGACGGAAATCAAAGTATAATTAATGCAATTTGTTTTTAAAGATTGTATTAACAATAAAACGTGCAGTTATGCTAATTCAAATGGGAAACTTTGTTGTCAGTTGACAAGCAGGGTTATCCCAACAAGCAAATGTAAACATCTCAATTGCATTGTCTGTAAATTTCTAACAAACAAATGTACAGAGGTCCTAGTTTTGATTAGGAGTCTACAGAACATTCTCAACACAGCCTAAGAGGACAGTTAAAAACTGCTTATTCCAACAATTGTTATTCCAAATGGTACCATAATATAAGAGGGTATCTGCAGATCTTATCTATGCACAATCAGTTTGTAACACTCCAAAGAGAAAGGAAAACTTGAAATCGCATCATATGACCCCTTTAAAACCAAATTTAAGACTTTTTAAGACCTGCACAAATAAAATAATAGCTACCATATTAGCATAGTAAAGAAATGTCTATGGCAGGGGTGTCAAACTAAGTTCCTGGAGGGCCGCAGCCCTGCAGAGTTTAGTTCCAACACACATACCATGTAGTTTTCAAATAAGTCTAAGGCCATGTCCACATGTACATGGGTATTTTTATAAACTGAGTTTTTCCTTCTTCCGTTTAAAAAAAAATCTCCATCCACATGAAAACGCAAACGCATGCTATGAAGCACTGTCAAGAGCATGCCAAACCAACAGGTGGCGATATAATCTCAACCGTAAAGCCATGTTGGCCAATCAGAAGCCTGAAAAAGTCTCCAGTAGGTGGAGATAACAGCACAGGCGCCGACGTCACAAGCCAAAAATGCCGGTTTCGCTGTCTACACGATAACACTGCAACCGGAGTTTTTGAAAATCTTCACTCTGGCAGGCGTTTTCAAAAATGTTCGGTTTCAGTGAACTGGTGCTGCGTTTGCGTGTGGATGAAGGGCCTAAAAATAACCGCGTTCGTGTGGACAGGGCCTAAAGCAGTGGTGCCCAACTCTGTTCCTGGAGATCTACCTTCCTGCAAAGTTCAGCTCGAACCCTGATCAAACGCGGCTTAACCAGCTAATTAAGATCTTCAGGGGCACTTGATAATTACAGGCAGGTGTGCTAAAGCAGGGTTGGAACTGAGCTAGTAGGTAGATCTCCAGGAACAGGGTTGAGCACCACTGGTCTAAAGGACCTGATTAGCTGGATCAGGTGTGTTTAATTAGGGTTGGAGCTAAACTCTGCAGGGCTGCGGCCCTCTAGGAATTGAGTCTGACACCCCTGGTCTATGGTAACATTAAACTGTATGACTAAAATAAAAAAAAAAGTTTTTATAAAATGACAAACTTCACATTTCAGACTTTAAAAATGTACAACAAAAAAAAAAACATTTAGTCAAAATTACAAATTATTAGATTAAAAAAATTATCAATCAATAATTTTATGAATTAAATAACATGTAAATATAGCTTAGCGTCTTAATTGTTTAGATTTTTATAATGCATTAGCTTCTTGTCAATCCACTGGTTCACATTTACAATTACATATTTGCTGTGAAAAATATGGGTAGATTTTTGTAGTGGTCTGAACAAAAACAGCAGATGAACTAATTGAAAAGGCAAATTGATTCTCTGCCACCAATTGGCCATAGTTCTTTGTGAACAGTGGTGTAATGGCGATTTAAATTAAAATCTTTCATTCGAGATTACGTTTCCAAACAATTCAAACATACGGGTATCCCCATGTTTAACATCTTGACTGGAAAATACAATTTTCATTGTCAATTTTTCTTTAATTTTTGCTAGTGTTAGTGAATGTTGACATTAGAATGCACCAAGGTTATTTTCGTAAATGAAAACTAAAACTAAGACTAAAAAATTGGTGAAAAAACAATTTTGTAACTGAAATAAAATAAAAACATCAAAATAATTGAAAAACTAAAACGAAACTAAACTAACAACAGTTATTGAAAAACTAACTGAAATAAAATCATAATTATTAAAAAGAAATAATCGTGTTCGTAATCATTATGTTCTCACCCCTTGGCGAAAAAATATACGAGCTGTGTGGAGGTTTAGGGAAATTTTAGCCTATCTGTAATTGTGCATCACGCACATGGGGTTATCTGATGGAGAGAGGCAAAGCAGTTTAAAGCCTGCACGGATCCTGTTTGGTAAACGTGCACCAGCAGTACTTAAAGGGGTCATATGATGCAATTTCATTTTTTCCTCTCTCTTTGGAGTGTTACAAGCTCTTGGTGCATAAAGAAGATCTGTAAATTTGCAAAGACTAAAGTCTCAAATCCAAAGAGATATTCTTTATAAAAGTTAAGAGTCAGCCACACCTACCTAAAACGGCTCGTTCGAACACGCCCCCACATATCTACCTCACTATGTGGGAAGATTTGCATAACGCCGCCCAAATGTTCACGCAAAGAAAGAAGGCGTAACTTTTATTCTCGCTGTAGTATTGTTGTTGCCGCTCCGCCATGTCGTGAAGACACTGTGTGCTTCGTTGTGAAAGCGAAACTACTTTGTTTGGTCTTCCAAAAAAGGACGATATCCGCTTCGTCATGCCTAGAGCTGATCCGTGCTGGTCGCTGAGGAAATACATCAACTTAGTGCTGTGGATCACCGGGACCCGAACCGCACTCGCATTAAATCTATTACATCAGGTAAGCAAGATTATTTATTTTATCATGTAACACAAGCAATCAAACCAACATTAGTCATTCTAAGTTGGTGCTTTGAAGAAAAACAGACATGCAGCGCAACATGATAATTAACAGAAAAAAAAGATGAGAACGCGCATCCTTTCTGTAAATAACACAAAACTTTTGCCTATAGCATCTTGTGATCACTCTACCAGGTAGGCTACTTGAACAAATTTGCATTGGCTAAATCACATCATACACATGCTTATAATTCTTCATAAATGAAAAAAACATTCAAATACAAGCCTTTACTGTTAAATGCGGTTGCTGTTATTATTGAATTTCATTAGTCCCAGTTTTGATGATGCACGGCTGTTCACGGAAAAGTGAGCAAGACACCACAGTTTGCACGGCTGTTCACAGAAAATTGAGCAAGACACCACAGTTACAGTATCATGATTATGGTTAAATAAGAAAAGACATATAACCAAATCAGGCTACATTTATTTTCATACTAAATATCTCAACACACATCATTGGATATGACATTAAGTGCAACTTTCATTTAACTAAAAAAAAAGGCTTGACTGCTTTCTTTGGCGCGTATTTGTATACTTTTACTATCTAATTAATCTCAGCATGAATTAATTTTGTGTCGCTATATGTTTGCCTCATTAAGGTTAAATTATGCCTACGTCTTTCTTTGGCCTGCGCTCTGGAAGTGATCTGTTAATTCTGCTGAACTTTAATTAAAACTGAAACTAAACTATATAAAAACGAAAAAAAAGTGTTTACAAAATAAAAACTAAACTAAAACTAACAAAAATATGAATGAAACTAATAAAAACTAAACTGAATTTTATAACAAATTTGAAAACGATATTAAAATAAAAGGAATTTAAAAATTCAAAACTATAATAACCTTGGAATGCACATTCTACTATGCTGTAATTAACACGGCAAGCGGCTGGAAACTAGTGACCTCTCCTGGTTGGAGATAGTATTAACATCATTAACAGTAAGCAATCTTTTCCATGACTTACTTTTCAAATGTTTTAAAATTGATCAATCGAGTATAATACGATCCAACGGGCGCTACTAAAAGACGTATGCAGCCCGCGGGCTGCCAGTTGCCCATTCCTGGTCTAATGTCAGAAGGTAGTATTTCACAATCAGTTATTTTCAGGTCAAGCGCTTCCCTGGCAGCCTTGTCCACTTTCGCATTACCAGTCAGCCCAATGTGACTTGGAAAAAAGACAATATTAACATTTTCCTTCTTTAAAAGATCTAATTTAATTCAAATATCAACAATTATGGGGTGGTCAGTCTTTATGGATTTAAGAGCTTGAAGACAAGACCTTGAGTCACAAGCAATAAAAAAAGTTTCATTCTTGACCTTTCTCAAATTTTCCAGAATCAGGAGTAATGCTCGAGCCTCAGCTGTGAAGATACAGCTTTGGTCCAGAATTTGAATACCATATTGTTGATCTCCTATCATTGCTGCTGCTGATACACTGTCATTGGTCTTTGATCCATCCATAAATGCAGTTCTGTCATGACAACTCTCGGAGGGATTGGCATGGTAATGTACATCAGCTGTGCCATGTGATGATGTCATTATGTCATATTGAGTTAAATCTATTGTACTGCGCCATCTAGCATACCATAGTGCTGCTTCCGTTTGTTGTGACTGGTTTCCAGGGCTGCCCTTGCATGGTTATGTGCCTCTTGCAGTGTCAATCTTAAGCTCTCGGGATAAGGGATACCCCAATGTACTCCCAAGGTTTTTGGGGCCGAATTGGGACCATTAGACCGGCAGGTTTTCTCTGACTTGGTTTTGTTAGTTGGCAAACTGTGCAAGAGGTTACATTTTTCTTCACCTCAGATGCCATTTTAGGCCAGAAAACCCGAGTTTCAGTCGGGCCAAGGTCTTGGTTAGTTGGGTGATCATGGTAATACCTCAACAAGGTACCTTTGAGAGACGTAGGAGCATACAGCTTTAAACATTTCAAAGGGTGGATGCCACAAGCAGGTTTGGGATCGTTAAAGTACAACAGGCCATCATGAATGGAATATTGAGAGCAATCATCCCCGTCACTACCCTGTTGGAGCTCTGCCTCCATTTTACGGAGGAGATCACCTGAGATTGGATCTTCAAGTTGTAGTTGTCTGACATGAGATCGATCCGTAAGAGTTACTGAAGATAGCGTACGGAGATCCAGACCACCAATCACAGCGTAGTCAGGAAGGAGGTCCATTGGTGACACATCATCTGCTAGAGGATTCCTCGACAGCGCATCAGGCACTTTGTTTCGAGATCCAGGCTTGTGGACAACATCGAAATCGAAGTCCTGAAGGCGGAGAGACCAACGAGCAAGGCGGCCAGTGGGGTTGGGACGGGACATCAACCACTTGAGTCCACTGTGGTCAGTTAAGATTGTGACATGGAGACCCTCAATGTAAGGCCTAAAGTGCTCAAGGGCCCAAATGACGGCCAGACACTCTTTTTCGGGTGTGGAATAAGGTTTCTTCGATTTATGCAGGGCCCGACTAGCATATGCCACAGCAACCTCTCTGCCATGCAGATCTCTCTGCATCAGCGCAGCTCCTAGTCCCGCGTCACAGGCATCGGCATGAACAAAAAAAGTTAGAGAGAAGTCAGGAAAACTTAGCACAGGTGCCGAAGTTAATTTTTGTCTTAGAAGGTCCATGGCATCTTGGCAGGCACTGTCCCATACAAAAGGAGCATCATTTTTAGTGAGCGCGAACAATGGTTCAGCGTGGCGGGCGTAGTCCTGTATGAACCGACAGTAATAGACTGATAGGCCCAAAAACTGCCTCACTTGCTTCACATTGACAGGAGTTTTAAAGTCCATACCAGCCTTCACTTTGTCCTGGTCCGGCAGGACGCCACGTGGACAGACACGGTACCCCAAGAAGGTGAGCTCTCTGTGACAAAACTGGCATTTGACCAGTTTAATGGTCAACCCGGCAGACTTGAGCCGTGAAAGGACTTCCCTGAGGTAATCGAGATGTTGCTTGAAAGTGGGCGAACTCTTTCTCGGGTGTGGAATAAGGTTTCTCCGATTTATGCAGGGCCCGACTAGCATATGCCACAGCAACCTCTCTGCCATGCAGATCTCTCTGCATCAGCACAGCTCCTAGTCCCGCGTCACAGACATCGGCATGAACAAAAAAAGGTAGAGAGAAGTCAGGAAAGCTTAGCACAGGTGCCGAAGTTAATTTTTGTCTTAGAAGGTCCATGGCATCTTGGCAGGCACTGTCCCATACAAAAGGAGCATCATTTTTAGTGAGCGCGAACAATGGTTCAGCGTGGCGGGCGTAGTCCTGTATGAACCGACAGTAATAGACTGATAGGCCCAAAAACTGCCTCACTTGCTTCACATTGACAGGAGTTTTAAAGTCCATAACAGCCTTCACTTTGTCCTGGTTCGGCAGGACGCCACTTGGACAGACACGGTACCCCAAAAAGGTGAGCTCACTGCGACAAAACTGGCATTTGACCAGTTTAATGGTCAATCCGGCAGACTTGAGCCATGAAAGGACTTCCCTGAGGTCATCGAGATGTTGCTTGAAAGTGGGCGAAGCCACAACAATGTCGTCCAAGTAGACTGCACAGCACCTATAAATAAGACCAGCTAGGACACTATTCATTAGTCTTTGAAAGGTTGCTGGTGCATTGCACAGACCAAATGGAAGCACACGGAACTGAAATAGTCCACAATGTGAAACAAAAGCAGTCTTAGATTTCGAGTCTTCTGCCATGGAGACCTGCCAGTATCCCCGAGCAAGGTCGATTGTGGTCAAAAATTTCCCTCTGGAAAGGAAGTCAAGGGACTCATCGACTCTTGGTAATGGGTAAGAGTCCTTCACGGTAAGCTGATTCAACCCACGATAGTCCACACAAAATAGTGGTTCACCACAAGGTTTCTGAACAATCACAACGGGGGTGGCCCAAGGGCCTGTTGCAGGTTCAATGATGCCGTCGTTCAACATTTTTCCTATTTGATCCTCAATCAAATGCTTTTTAGCTGGGGCGGTTCGATAAGGGGGAAGGTGGATTGGCTTGGCATTCCCCGTGTCTATGGAGTGCTCAGTTAGTGATGTGCGACCCAGGTGACCATCAAAGAGGTCAGAAAAACTTTAAAGTAGCTCTGACAACTGTTCCTTCTCAGCATTACTCAGACATGCTTCCTCAACCTTTTCTCGAAGTGCGGAAGATAGGACTTCCATAAATAACAAACTGCTTTCCAACTCCTAGCATCAGTTAAATCAAGGGAGGTTCTGTAAACATTGACCGATTGTAGCCAATCCTCAGGGCTAACGTGTCCGTCTCCCGCAAACACAGGTGGTTCAAGCCTTGACTGGTACAGTACAGATGCAAGGATTCTGCTAGTATTACTCACATCAGAAGAATTGGGCTGTGGTGAAAAAGTCACGTTTCTATGGGAAACATTATTAGTGGTCATACCTTGTAATGGCACTTGGCCTAGAGGAATACGGCTGTGTGGTGTAGAGCTGGCCATAGGAGGTAGCGGCGCATGTGGCGCTGCAGATGTGTCGAAATCAGGAGGACCAAAACGTTTTAATATACTCTGCTGCAACTGGAGAGAGTCGTTGAGGCACTGTTGCAACACAGATACTTCAGCTTGTAGGAGTTCCACTTGAGTCTCCAGGCTCACTCGCTTTGGTAACTTTTGTCTCTGTCTGGGGACAGAATCTGGTAATGTGTAGGTCAAGTCGGTGTTAAGGTCTGGGTGAGAAGCCATCACAGTAAATGCGCATTTACATAAACAGCAATATAGCAATTGTAAAAATTCTAAATGTAACCCAGAAAAATACAACCTGCTATTAAAATGCACACACCATCAATAAAATCTTTAACAAAATTCAACCATATCACATCAACAGTCCCTTTGAGTTAGTAATAGTAGTAAAACCACACACTTTTCCACTGTCTCTTTTATGTGAGCTTTGTGTTTTTACCTCAAAAGACCCAGAGCAAGAGAATGTTGCTTTAAATTAAATGAATTGTTTTTTAAGTTACTCGACCATGCAAATATGTCCAGAGTTAGAAACTACTCTTCAGTCCAGCATAAATAAATTCAGTTCACGATGAAGAAAAACTGTTCCAACAGGTGAATTGTTTCCTCAAAATGTTCAAAACTCAGTTCCAATGCACAAAAATGAACCCCGAATCGGCTTTGAAAAGAAAAATCTTTGCAGTTCGCTTCTGCAGTCAAGTTCAATGCACACACACACACACACACAAAAATCCATGCTGAAATATCCCAGGAAGGTTATAAACAAAATGTCAGTCTACGCTTGGGAAACAGGCCAGGAAAAATTTGCAATTAGATCACTCCCTCAAAAAGCAAACTAATACTTCCAAAATCAAATTATCTCATTCAAAAAAAACGTCACCATCAGCTTGTGATCGATGTCAAAATGTCCCGTGAAGCACAAAGTCTAAATATTTCAAATTAATCCGATGTCCTCGTCATATAAAAAAAAACGTTGCGTCATCCACTCAAGCAGAAATACAGGCGTTCCCCGCACACATGGCACCCAGCGTTAGCAAGCTAATCTCACCAGCTTCCACGATGCCGATTGAACACTCTCACAGCTCCCCAACTCCCATAGTTTTAGGGTTTCATCGACGTAGATTCCACATAGATGACGGATCCAGCTTCAGTTGTTCGGGCACCAGTTGTAACGCTTTGACTCGGATAACTCGTTAATAAATCCACGAAATGAAAGAGATGGAAAACGAAGAGTTGGTGTCCCACACATTTAATGGCTGGTAAACGGCAAGGCGCTCCTCTCATACATGAGAGATTAACTCTTTCTTAGTGTTACAAATAAACGTCAAGACAAAATAATAACAAGAAGGCAGAGCGAACTTATCATCCATAGTGGTTCTCATTACACAGTCACGTAGTCCTTCTACGTCATCACCACATAGCGTGTGTTATAAGTTAAGTGATCAGTCTCTTAAAGGGCACACCGCACTATAATGTGATGCATGCAAAAACATAGGTTTGGCCGTTACAAAGACCTCTGCCATTCGCCCTGGCATGCTGTCAATCAACTTCTGGGCCACATCCTGATTGATGGCAGCCCATTCTTGCATAATCAATGCTTTGAGTTTGTCAGAATTTGTGGGTTTTTGACCACAAGTTCTCAATGGGATTAAAGTCTGGGGAGTTTCCTGGCCATGGACCCAAAATTTTGTTGTTTTGTTCCCTAAGCCACTTAATTATCACTTTTAATGGCAAGGTGCTCCATCATGCTGGAAAAGGTCGGGATGCTTTACTGTTGGCATGACACAGGACTGATGGTAGTGCTCACCTTTTCTTCTCCGGACAAGCTATTTTCCAGATGCCCCAAACAATCGGAAAGGGGATTCATCAGGGAAAATGACTTAACCCCAGTCCTCAGCAGTCCAATCCCTGTACCTTTTGCAGAATATCAGTCTGTCCCTGATGTTTTTCCTGGAGAGAA